TACACAATTAGATTTACTTGTTTGATTGCTATTGCAAGTAGAATTAGGCTTGGTTTTAGGTTTTCATCACAACTCAGCTCAGACATCTGCATCTTATCACAAAGAGGTTTGCAATATGAGACAATGTTTTACTGACAGTTCTGTATTACACTGTATTTGTGGTACAGTTCATAACATTTTGCTATGCAATGTTCATTACCAATCCCTTTCCACTGATTCCCTCCATTTCCAACCACTGTTTTCATGACATTCAATTTGTGGGCAGTACTGTTGAGAACATTAAATTGGCCTTCTCAAGTATATGACAGGTAGCTTTTAAGTGTTCGAGTATTCAGAAGTAAAGAATCTTGATCAGTTGAATGTTTGATCTTGTGAGATCCTTACATTTGTCTCTTTTCTTTTCAAATTCAATTGCTTTTATTGTCCAGGTTTTCTTTCAGTTTTGAGAATACAAGCTTTGAATTAAACCGGATGTCCCTGTGGGTTTCCTTTGGGTGCAGTTGTTTAAGCCGTTAATGTTTTGTAACATATCCCACCTCCGTCAACCAAACTTCTTTAACAAGCTTTTGTGGCAATCTAGTATAATTATTTAATATGTTAAACTGCATGTACACTGTCTCAGTGCTCAGTGCTGAGACCACTGCACCACAGAGGACTGGGATGTATGGCTATATTAAAGCTAGATGTTTAAGATCTACACGTAGGTTATCTTGTACCTTCATTTTTTTCTGAAAGTAACCAAAAACCTCTTGAAGGAAGGCCCCCCCGTCCCGTGTGAGGGAAGGGTTGAATTATCTAATAAGTGCTGTAGGCACTCTGAGCATCAACATGAACATTTCCAGCAATCACCAGTACATTGAAATTGGTACTGAGGCTTCCTTATGTTAGCTGAGCTGAGTCTGTAACAGAAAAAATTAATCTGTAGCTTTTGTTGATCAAATTTTTAAAAACCATTCAAATTTATCATCACAAGGCCAAATTAAATGAATGTGCTTGCTCATGTCACCTCTGTGCTCATCCGAGTCTCCTGAGTTATATATAAAAAATTTACCTGTAGCTGAATGCATATGCTTTTGGATCTTATAAGAACATTTGTAAAGATTTTCCTACAACCTGACTAGGCATACGTGATTCATTTTGTCAAGATTATCTGCATTTTGCAAGTACCCGATAGTCTTGGCCAATCTACTCTACAATTTGTGCATGCATACACTGAGGAAACAGTGACTGACAAACAATCTCTCTCTCTGCATTTTTGCTGTGGTATAGGTATCCATAAGAAAAAGTTAAAGCCGTTTTAAGATTAACACAGTTTAACAGATTAACACTTCAGTCTAACATGTTGTGGAGCCTTACATGTATGTGAGGCAAATGATTTGAGACAAGTATCTTTGCAATATGAAGATCAGTTTGTGTGGGGAAAAAAGAATGAAATTTAGACTTTGATTTAGTAAATCTCCATCCATTACTTTGGTTTTTCATAATATACATGGTTCCATTTCCTTCAGGGGACTAACTAACGAATAATCCAATCATATCCTGATAAATCAAATTGCATGTTTCAAACCTATTCCACTGCCCAAATCATCTGCTGTGAGCATATGTAACAACAAACCAATATCCGAACTGATATTAGTGTAAACTCAAACCACCAGAATCAAAATATTATGAAGTGGCACAGTACCCATCACTGCCTTTTCCAAGTTATTCTACACACGGTGTTCACACTTCCCACTTCATCAAGTCAACATTAAGAGACTCCCTATTTTTCAGATTATCATGATTATTCTCATACTCTTATTCATGAGATTTCCCACACAAAAACGTGGAAATAAAAACAAACATACATTTGTATGTCCATGTGTGTACACGTATGTTTGTACATACAAGTAATTAGCTGTCACCGGAAGTGGCAGTGATTTTATGCACATCTTGTGCATGTACACTGTAGAACTTTAGTTCATGCTAGTCATGCCCAAGCTGCAGCTATGTCTATTCTCAACTCTTACTTTTGATAGATGTCAGTACATAGCCTGCACTATCCAACCTAACCATTTCATCCATCAGAACTACTGGGTTAAAGTAATCCTACACATTAACACAATTGTTGGTTTTGTGTTGTTTTCAACCTGCAAAAATGAAGGTGTAAACGACCATTGACTGCAGATAAAGCTACATGTAGTAAGTTTGATACGCTTGTTTAAGGAATCT